CTCCAGACTGATCTGCGAGTGAAACCTTGAAAGCTGGCGAGATCAGGATGGTCTCACAAGGCTACTAATTATTTAGCTTTCAAGGTAATTAACTTTGGGAACCTGAGAATTCTCGCTTCAGGAATCTTCCTTCAAAGTAGAAAAAGACCTTTCTCTTTTTTAACACATCAAAAATTTTGTAATATTTCAAAATTTATCAGTAGCCTCTAGTTCAACTTTGATTTATAAAGATATTTGTTTAAAAAAAAGTTTAAGAAACAACTGGGTGAACACTAAATAATCTAATGCAAATGATACATGTACATTTCTCATGCTATATTACTTTATGAATCAGTAAGGAAACGTGATACAGTGAAGCCATGAAGAAAACTATAAAGCTGTTAATTAAAGACGAAGGGAATGAGAAAGATGAAAGGGTTTCACCCTATCTATTAAAGTGTGAGAAACAAAAAGTAGTTTGATTCCATTTTCGGCAAAGGCTCATGGTTATTTGGAGGAACGAGGAGCGTAGAAGCATGATGCAGAGCTATGCCTAAGGGGAGGCAAAAACTGAGAAATACTCAGACGACTGAAGCAATTCCTCACAGGGGGATAAGATGTTATGTGTCAGCCAGAGGTACGTGATGTGTGATGGACGTAGAAGTGACGTGAGCCCCAGCAAAGCAGAAAAAGGGGAAAAAATAAGAGCTGAAGAGAAGACTTTTATCCTTTCATTCTGACGAGCCACTGAGCCCTGTGATCTGAGCCTTCTTTCCTGTGCGTTATTGGACTCGGTGAACAAGCTTCACAGGGTTCAGAAAGAGAATTTCAACCCTTATGCGCACAAACGTTCAAAGCTGTCACCGAGAGAAGCCTGGGGCCAGTTTGTACGACATGCATGCCTCCATATGCACCCAGAAGGATGCTAACAGACACGGGCCACATTTTTACATGGTGTTGTTGTCCATCTAAGAAAATATACAGCTCTTACATATGCACTTTTTCTGTTGTTGTTTTTTTTATTTGTGGTGACTGAAAATGTTGTTGATGTTTTCTTTTGGATTTGTCATGGACTTGTTAAATTGTGTCTGACCTGTCTTCTAATTAGTAATATGTTTCCAGGTTGCAAGTTAATCGGGCAATCTTTATGCAAACCAATGTATTCCCATCTGGAACATTCCCTGTAATGCCAAGTGTATCATATTTGATACACAAGCCTTTCAGACCTCTACACCCTCATTGTTTTGTGTTTTTTTTTCTTAAAAAATCTGATGCATACAATCAGAGACATGTAGGGATCAGAAAATGCATTACTGTATAAATTTCACAGAAATACCTAATGTCCCCCAAGCTATAGAAATAATTGATAATATACAAAGCTTAAAAATGACACCAATTGTTCAGGAAAAAACAGATTTGTTTGATTAATATACACAGCCCTTTGCAACCCACATAATATAATGCTAAGAATATCATATAATAAAGAGTATGATTTTTAAAAACTGGTTGTGCAGATTGTGAAAAAAATGCTTGATAAAGGTACAGCTCACATCAAAAAATGTAAATGTCTTAGTTAGTTGGTCAGCTACATAGCATTTAAAAATAGCGTGATCTGGGACCTGATAGGAATAAGACTGTGAACAGCACTGGTATGTGTATATAAGGTACAACAACAGATGATTTTCATGGAAAACCTTTTGATTTTTCATGAAGGACAATTTTCAGATGTATTAAGATTGAATAAAGTTCCATTTCTAAAGCTTTTGAGGCCAGCAGAAACATCATGAAGCAGTATTGTTAGCTGTGACTTTGCTTTCTTAAGTGTGACAGGTCAAAATGTATTCTGTGAAAAATGTGGATAAAAAAACCCTTGTAGCTCACAGACCATTCTAGGGACCCAGTGAGAAGAATCTAAAGGATTAGAGGGGCTCTGTTGCCTATTGCCCAGAGAAAAAATTGAAGAAATTTCAGGCCTGCTAAGATGTTAGCAGGCCTGAAACAGGGAAAAGTTTCTCTCCAGTAAAGTGCACTGCGTCTTTCAGCTTAACCTAAACTTGCACCCACCACCTCCCTCCTAAGTGAGGCTTATTGTTTTCACATAAATTCTACATTTATATCATGCATTTAATAGAGCTGCCAGTTTTATTTTGGACCACCTTATTCCAGTCATTGCATTTTCTACTGAATAATGCATTTTGGAAGTCGTACACAGTGAAATTACCAGCAACTAAATGATTTTCTGCTTTTGGCAGGTTCCCATTTTCACCTCACACCTGTCTCTCTGCCACTGTGATCCACTTCCAAGTAGACATGAACACAAGTTTGCTATCATTTGTTCCTCTGCGGCACTCAAAACTATTTTTTCTAAGGTTTGATGCACTCTGTTAACAAATTTAGAATAAAGACAGTTGTTTTTGCTATTGCTGAAAAGCTTGAATTCAAGTTGTTCATCATTTTTTCAACAGCTTTAGTTTTTAGCTTGGGAAAAAAAAGTGGTATTTATAGATAGTTCACATTGTATAGTCAGAAACTGGAACAATTTGTACATAACTGTCGATCATTATTTTTTAGGAAAGTTGCATTTTAAACTAAAAAAAAAAAAGCACTATGAGGGAAGTTCCCAAGCCATTTATTTCAGTAAAATACGCTCATATGGAAGTTTAATCCTCAAATTGCAGGTGAAGGAGCATCTATGTCCTGTACCCATACTTACGGGAAATATATCTATATTTCTTTAGATTAGTGGAAGTAACCAGGACACAGAATAGCATGGAATTAAAAAGACTAGAGCTGCTTGTAACACGGTGAGTGCTTGAAAAGAAAATCTGTCCTGCTAATTTTTTGAAGAAGAGTTTAGAAAATGAGTAAGAAACAGTCTATTATACAGCTGGTCTTACAAAAACAAAGATTAAGAATGTCACAGAATGTTACAGAAATTATATCTTCTGGTAAAGGGTACCCAATATTGCAAATAACGAATCCCTGACTTTTGTGAAAAATAAGAATAATATTTGAAACTTTATTGATCTCACATTGGAGAAATTTACCTCTGCATTTAACCCACAATGCAAAAAATGGAAATCTAAGTAAGTCTTTCTTTCTTAAAGTGAGTGCGTTTTTCTCCAATTGAGGACGAAAGTGAGACACTTTGCCAATGGAACAAGACAATTTACCTTTTTAATAAGAAAAAAACAATTGCATTGTTTTATTTCACGTTCATATTATTTAATTATCTTATTTTAAGAGTAAAGATACTACGGTAATTTCATTGGCAAATCATCGTATTTACCAATTCAAATTAAGGGTAAATACACTTAATTGAAGACATTTTTACTTATTTCTAGGTCGTTTTTGCAGTGCATCCCCTTGGGGAGCAGTGGGCTGCCATCGTGGGGTGCCCGGGAAGCAATCGAGGGTTAAGGGTCTTGCTCAGAGACCCAGAATGGCAGTCTCTGGGAGTTTGGTTCAAACTCAGAACCTCAGGATTCCAGGCCCTAACAACTAGGCCACCACTCTGTTTTGTTCTGGTGACTAGTTATTATTCCGTGATCTTTTACAGTTGGAGTTGTGTATTAAAAACATCTCATTCCTTCTTCAGACTGAAAACCTTCCAAGTTCCTCCATAATATAATCAGGTGATCTCAATACTTGAAGGTTTGCCTTGATTTTCTCAGGACCTGGGTCTTGACGTGAGGATCGAGCTGTTTAAATACTGTTGTGTTTATAGCTTAAGAGAGGAAAAACTGCAACCTGACACAATTAGGTGTCAGTTATTCACATCTTCTGGACTTGATGACTGGGTTTGTGTCTGTGTTATGCTTGATGCAGTCTACCTATGAATTTGGTGCAAAACAGAAACATGTTTAAATCCTGCAAAGATATTTTAGTAAATTGCATTGCTTCCTAAATATGACCCAGAGGTCGGTCAGAACGGAGGAAAGTAATAATGCAGTCATAATTAAAGATCATATTTTATTCATTTTTAAAGCATTTCAAAGTCACTTATGGGCAAAATGTGATGTAATAATACCTTTAGAACCATGTGGGTATTAATTAGTTATAAAATACAGTTTAATCCAACCGTGAATAAAAACACCTGCTTTCCACGCAAAGCTGTCTCTTCCTATCTGGATGCCACCCATATAAAGATGTCAACATATCACACAACATCTGAGGGCTGAATGAAGTCTGAGACTGCTGAAGCATAAAAAAACAGATTTTCTTAACTTTAGATGAAAAAAAAAGACAGGGTAAAGTCCCATATGGATTAGCTGCTAAAAGAGCCACTTTGTCTGAACTTTCAGCCATAATCATCACATCCTGCCTCATCAGCCTTCCTTCATTTGGAGACAGTGGGTATGTGTTTACAATGCCTGCACTGCCCAGTGTGGTAGCAGCTTCCTAGATGGAGCCTTCTTATGTAGATGGCTTTTAACCCTTCATTTTGACAGGTGTGGGAGGGGCTGCTGCTCAGACAGTGTAACTTGTGAAAATTACTCATAGATACGGTTATCAAGGGAAATACCACTTTGTGCACAACGAAGCAAAGCATTATCTGCATGATATAAGCCCTTCAAGATATCCCCTTTCAAAGTGACTGCATGTGATCGAGAACAGGTTACCTTTCAGCACACTAGTGTTTTATTATTTATCAGGATTTTCTGAAGATTTTTTTCAGAAAAATGTTTTTCTACCAAAACATTTGCATTATCTAAATGTTTGCATTTGTAGAATGCTCTTACTACTTAATCTTTAACGTTTTGTCTGTTTTTTTGTCTTAATTTCTTCCCATTCAGAGAGTAACATCTCAGTGTCACTATCTACCAACTCCTCTGAGGTCCTAGAGGGAGACCGGATCCAATTGACCTGCTTAGTCCAGTCTGCCACTGGCCCGGTGTCTGTTGTCTGGCAGTGGACCGACAAACAATCGGCTGGACCAATCCAGGAAGTAGCCTCTGTGGATCGGGAAGGCACTGTCACTCATGGGTCCAGCTACAGAGATCGCTCCAGCTATGGGGAGATTCGTGTGGAGAGGGTGCGTGCGGACATGTTCACTCTATGCCTTTACAATGCCTTACCTGGAGATGAGGGTCAATACCACTGCACGGCTACCCAGTGGGTTCAGTCAGGCACTGAAACTCAGCCAAACTGGGAGAAGACTGGAGAGCAATCAGCCACCAAAACAGTCACAGTCAAGACTGTTGGTAAGTTGAATAATCTAAGCCTAAATCCCAACTCCTGGAGTTACATTTACCTTTAGTCCTCCTGCACTATACCCTGTCTGGTAGTTAAATCAAGCAGTGGTTAAAGTATTCAGCTGAGCTCAGGGATAGTCGTTAAGGTAACTGAAGATTCTCTTAACATTTGTTTGGATGATCAGTTCTCTAGCAGACATAATGTTCTATGCTCAAGTAAAAAAGTTCCAAATTCACTCTACAGCATTAGATGCATTTAGATGTCCAATATTGTCAATGCTTTGCCCCAAAAAATAAAATCCTCTACAGCTGTTTCTAAACAAAGAAAATGTCAAAACTAATCTTTGTATATGCTTGATGTCCAGTCACATAACTGCTGTCTATTTACGTCACCATGCTTGATGGCATAAAACTATTTGTGTGCTAATATTACAGCGAGATTTTTACTACGTATGTAATGCAAAATGAGTGGAGAACCTGCCAACCCAACATTGTCTAAATATGTTAAACATTTAGATGGGGAATTAAAATGAAGCAACACTGCAAAAGAATTATTTACGGTTATTCACGGTTACAAGACTGCCATCTGTCAGACATTCCTGAATTCGCCTACAGTGACTTGTACAATTATTTGGTGAATCTGCAATCTTACTTTTCAGAAATGGATTGTAGAGTGGGCTGCTCAGTGGCGCAGTGGGTAGCACTGCAGCGCCTTGCAGCAAGAAGGTTCCGGGTTTCATTCCCGGCCCGGGGTCTTTCTGCTTGGAGTTTTCATCTTCTCCAAGTGCATGTGTGGGTTCTCTCCAGGTATTCCGGCTTCCTCCCACAGTCCAAAAACATGATAATTGGATGTTAATTGGCTTCTCTAAATTTTGCTTAGGTGTGAGTGTGTGCATGAATGTTCATTTGTCATGTTTGTGTCTTTGTTGCCCTGAGATCGACTGGCGAACCTGTCCAGGTTGTACCCCGCCTCTCGCCCATAGACAGCAGGAGAAAAATGGATGGATGGATGAAATGCAGAGTTATAAAAGTTTAAATGCCTAGAGTTGTTTTGTGTTATCCTGGCGGGGGGCAAGTAAAGCCTGGCGGTCCACCAGGCTAATAAATGAAATGATGTGTTTAAATGAAACAAATCTCTACAATAATACTAAGAGCATAACATTTCGCCATTTAAGTGTTCTTTGCAAATTCGGCTCATTGTGGGTGGTTGCCAGCTCTGTCTCTTCACTCTCACTTGCGTTTCTGTGTCTTTTTTGGAAGCGATAAAATGAGATGTCATCTTTTTTTCTCATTAGTTGGTAGACCCATAAGCTGAGCACAAGATTACCAGGATTTTGTTGGTGTTTTCAAGGTTATGTGGAGAAAAAAACTACACTATCTGCTGGTCATAATCAATTTATGTACAGTTTGTTTTGCCGTCAAAGGACAAACAGTCATGATTGTCTCAAGTCAGCTGCATACCAAAGGTCTTCAACAGGGGGTCTGTGACCCCAAGGGGTCCACATAGGTACTGCATGGGGGTCGCTAAAGTTTTGGTTGATTAGACTTTTTTTTATATTCCCCCCTGCATTTTTTTACAACAATTGAAATGTCTTCAAATACGCATTAACATGAATTCAACACACTGTAGCAAACAGTAAAAAATTCATTCACAACACCTGTCCCATCAAAGAGGAATCTGAATCAGAAAGACTTTAATAATCCCAGGGCAAAATTACTTTTGTTACATTACTCCATTTGTAATAGAGTGAATTTAGGACCAGTTTGATATGACACAATTTCATACAATATATATGATTAGGGGGTCCCCGCTCCATCTTGCCATCAGCTTGGGGGTCCTTGGCCTTGAAAACATTGACGACCCCTGCTCTATACTACAAGTGAACTTGCTCACCTATTTGTACACTTGATACAAAAAATATGTCAAACCAGATTGTTGTTTTTATTGCTGATCCCATGAGAGCAGAGATTTTAAAAAGAAATTCCTTTTTTTAATTTAACAACAAATTCAACAAAATCAGTGTGCTTAAAAATAATCAAATGTATATATTTTCTGTGATTTGAAAAAAAAAACGTTTCAAAATATTTAAATAAAATTAAAACTCATTTTCCCGTTGCCCCTGTTGATGGCGTTAGTTCAGAAAAAAAATGCTATCAAGTATTCATTGTATGCCTTACACCTGAAGCTAGACTGTAGTAACAGAAATTCATGTACCAATAAAATGTTAATTGAGAAAATACATGCATGAAAACATGTCTTTTCTGCCTAGTCAGTGAGTGAGATTGCAGCTCCATGAATGGGAGTTAAGGGTATTTTAGACAGCATTTATTTTTTATATAGCAGCCATTTAGTCTGTATTTTAATATGTTGAAGTCAATAGGGCTTGTAAACAGTCTGACTCGCTCAACGATTGCTACTTCAACACCAAATCAAACTGAGGTATGTAGTTTGTGATTTGTTTAACGGTTCAGAAAACACATGCAGTACTCATAGTTGAATGTCCCATGGTTTATTCATGCAATGTTTAAGGGGAAAGCAATTATGAAAGACACACAGTCCAACACATTTTTACACTACAGTACCTGCCTAATGTCAAGAGCTCTTCCCATGACGCAAAAGATAAACCTATACACTCAAGTACAAACCAATAGGAATTAGTCAGAATTATTAGAATGGAAATGCCAAGGCAATATGTTACACAGTCTTAGTCCCCTCCATCACCACTCTGTTAAGCTTAACATCCACAGTTCAGGCTGGGAAAGCCACTGGAGCAGAGCAGTTTGGAGCTGGCAGACCACAGCGCCAGGCGCTCCCACACTTGCACGATCGAGGGATTAGCTCCCTGCAGCAGCACAGAGAGGCACTGTGGAGAGTCGATGTCAGTTTTTAAGTGGCCATTTGTCAAGTTGGAGCAACAAGAACAACGTTTGTCAGAGGAACAAGAGACACATTATGCAAATTAGGTAGAAGTCCAGAGCTGCTCATCTTCTTCAGGTAAACTTCTGCACGTTGCCTCCTCTTCTTCTCCTCAGTGCTTGTTGATCAAAGGATTTTCTGAATATGCACTGTTGTGTGACGGTCAATGTCTTTTCATTTTGGCCCTCATTTTTCTTACTTTACGCCTCCAGCTGAAGCCTTATTGAACCTAACCCTCCCATGCAAATTTAACTTAGATTTGTCTTTCAACTTTCTCTACTTGTACACTCATTTTATGCTGTGTTATTAGCTTCTCTTTTTTAAAATAAAAATAGAAAAAAACACTTCAAGTTCCCTGTCTAAGCACAGAGTTGTTTCGATTTAAACTCTATCCTCCGAGTGAACCATTGTTACTAGCCATAATTTAAATATGGTCCCTCTGACCTCATTATTGGAAACCATCACATATGATGGTGGGAATAGAGGGATGTCCTTTAAGGGAGTTGCATACCTCAGTTTTTGCCACAGCCAAGACAAACGTATTTCCATAGTTTTTATTTTTGTTTTCTTGCTCTCGGAAAGAAATGAAATAAGTTACTGTGGTCAGATGAGACTTCTGAATAGTGTAACAAGTTAGTGGCCACATGATTGCATTGATTCAGTTTTTCTGACAAGGACCATTGTTAGAGCTCATGGGAAAGATTGATTGAGCTACATACAGCCAAAGGAAAACCAAAGAAAGATATTTCAGAATCCTAATAAAGTTTATCATGAGGGGAGAAGGTTAAAATTTGAGCATGTCAGTAGACTTTAACATATAGACCTACTGAATAGTTTGTCAGAATAAGTCAGTCAAAGTCCAGATATAATCCAATTAACATGACTAAAAAAATCTGACGCTTCATAATCTCAGACGCTTTCCACCTGATCTGAAGCAGATGTATCTATTTGCAAAGAATTACAATTTCAGGCTCTGAATGTGCAAAACTGAGATTATGAAGCTAAAACTGCAAAAGTAGGTTTAACAGTAATATGATTCAGTGAAGCTATATAATTTTCTGCCCCACTCTTCAGACTTATAATAAATAAATCAAAACATGAGCAATGTTCTTGCCCTTAAAATATTTCTGCTGCTTTGTGTTCATCTCTCACATATAATCTAAACTAAACACATTAAAGTCTGGGGTTGATGGAATAGTGGGACATTTCAAGGGACCTAAATACATGACAAAGAGCTACTGTAGAAGCCTACATGTCACATTGTATCATGTATTCTCATAGACATAATATTCCAAACATTGGTTCATAGAAGAAATTGATGGATAGATAAGAAAAGTGTGTCTGGAAATGAGAGATTGAGCGAGAGCAGAGACTTATTGTCTGTTGGGGAATTCTAGCCTCAGGCAGTCATCCCAGCAGCAGCCAAGTTTGGACAGGGTGTCATTGATTGGTTGCCCTAAAGGGCGCCGTGGAGGGTGGCTGTCAGAGGACAAGACAGGGTGAGGACACACTAAAGGCAACAACAGGGGTGTTGACAGGCACATAATGGAGGAATCTGTAAAGTCTCAAGAAAATTCATGGACATCACCAAAAACTACCTTGCTCTTTTTAATTGTACTGTTAAACCAGTTTATGCAAAACCATTAAAATATGCAAAAGTAGGAGTTAAGCAGTGTTGTTGTTATTGATTTTTGATTTGCCTTGTCTTCTGACTTTGTTCTGTCTCCTAACCCTGATCCCCAGCAAATGTGTGTTTTGGCTTTACAGAGTCTGTCAAATGTTTTTGCCTAATGTGGATGGTTTAGGCTTGGCAGGGAGCTCCCAGTATATCGAATATTGGTGCTTAGAGAAAATCTCTCCCTCGGGTTTTCTTGACTACATCACTGGGTTTTCAAGCACTCCCAGAGTTAAATACAAAACATTCTTATTGACACACACACATACAGTACTTAGTACTTTAAATACTTTGACTGTAACATGAAAAGCTTGAGAAGATTTAAATCTTCTTTAAGTAAAGGTCAATGTGCTTTTACTCAATACTTCCTGTCTTTCTCCAGCGTTGGGTTTTGTTCCTTTTAACAGCCTTGCCTCCAGGAAGAGATTTTACCCCTTGCATAAAAAGAGTAGACTTAATTACATGCACAAGGCAGCATGGCTCTGTTAGAGCCATGCTGCCTTGTGCATGTAATAAAACTAATAGAATAGACATTTTTCTATATTTGATCTTAACCCTCTTTGCTCTTCCTCTCCCACCACCTAGAGTCTTCCTTTATGGTGTCGGCCTCATCGCGGACTCCGTCGATCACGTTTGGAGATTCCTTTGACCTCATCTGTTTGGTCAAGCCTCGCCACAACCCCAGAGTCCCCACATCGGTCACTTGGCGTTTCATGCCGGCCAGTGCTCGAGCTGAAGATGAGGATCAGGGAGAGTTCAAAGACCTGGTGACATTCACCCGTGAAGGCACCCTTCAGTGGGGAGAACAGCTGCTTGGGTTGGGCACCCGCACCACCGTGGACCGCTCGCACTCCAACACCAACTTCCGTTTGTCTGTGACCCGAGCAGGGCGAAGTGAGGCGGGAAAGTATCAGTGTACTGCCATCCTGTGGAGGAAAAACTACGACAATAGCTGGAGCAAAGTAGCCAACCGAACCTCCAATCTGCTTGGCATCAGCGTCCTGCAACCAGGTAAGGCTTCATAGCCCCTTGCTAAGGAGAATTATGCAGCCACTACTTAAACAGTAATTAAGGAACAATCAAGAACAATCAAGCATAAGGAAAAATTAATATGAAATGCTTATTTAATACAGCTAAACAATACAAAAATAATCTTGAAATCAATTTTGCCTCACTGGGAATGCTGCAATGAACCGTACTCTTTTTCACCCCCATTTAATGAATCCAACCAATTCATGCTTTCAGGGACTTGATTTCAGGAAACATAGAAACTGAGTCCTTGTTTAGTTCGGGACCCCCAAACACTGCTTAAACAGATATCTGATGACCTATCTGGTCCAGTTGGTTCATACTTTTAATGTCTTTCTGTCCAAGACTCATCTGTACCTTCTACAGTTGCACCCTAATAATCTGTGATATATTCCCTAGAGGTTCATTCATTTCACTAACTTAGCTGACAAAACGACACAAATTACACTATATGTTTTCCTAGAATTTCCCTATTGTGGGACAATAAATGAATTTTCTATTTTATTCCGTTCTGTTTTATTCCCTTGTTTCTGTGTAATTGGAAGATTCCCACTTATACTTACTGAAAACAGAACTGATTTCTTAGAAGATAGAAATATTAAATCATGTAAACAAAAGTTATGACTCTAAAGCTCCATTTTCAATAAACTTGAATATCATGGCAATGATTTCAGATCCTCAAGGGCCACTGAACTGCACATTTTAGATGAATCTCTTAAGCTACACACCTGAATCACATTGCCAAGCTGATTCTCTTGCATCCTGTCAAGATCTAGGCTATACTAATGAGCTAATATTTAAGTCAGGTTTGCTGAAGCAGAGATGATTGTAGGGTTTCCCGACATCGGGCTTTGAGGACTTATTATTATTTCCCATCTCCTGTTTAAAATCTGAACAAGTTTATAAAAGGACCATTTTTCTAATCTTTTAATCAAATGTTAACGATGGGCCGCATCTAACACAAGACAGAGCTCCAATAATGCTAGGACAGGTTTTACATGCATCATTGTTGAGATCCATGTTATTCAAAGCTTCAACTAATACAGTCTCATTGGTGCAGTGAAGTTGAAAGCTCAACTTTTCATAATGAATAGTAACAGCAGTCTTGTACGCCTTCTTTTCCGTAACAATTTATTAACAAATTGTTGATCACATGCTTTTTTAATTGTCTTTTCCAATAAATACTAGACTAAGTTACACAGGAAACAAAGATTAACATGCACATACACACACAGGGTAAGTCTACAAGAACTCAGAGGATTTCTACTGGCCCTAATTGCGCTTAGTCTCTGGTTTAGCCACTAATTGTAGTGTCTCTGGGTGTGTGTCTGTGTGGATAAAGCAGGGTGGAGTCTGCTAATGGAGTGCAGCGAATAGATTGCCAAATATCCCACAGGAACAGAACACTGAGGGAAAGCAGTGGGCAAGACTGAAGCAAACAGCAGAGACAGAGAGAGTTAGGAAGAGGGATGAAGAATGGGAGAGATCTGTCCTTGAATCTTGTTTCCTCCATGGAGACATTAAACTGTCTACACTACCCTTATTGGCCCTTTTTTTTTTTCTTCTCCCTCAAACATACAGAAAAACCCATTCAGACAGAGCCTAATTAGAGGAAGAACACAACATAAAAACATTGTGCAGAACTCACACTTGCCCAATTTACCAGAGCCTGTTGTGCTTCAGCAGTGTGATACTTCGTTTATTCAGGTGAATGTGCCTAAGGCAAAAAGTCATCCTATTATTGAAAATATAACCACAATTCTTAAGTCTTTAACTGAGATTAGCAAAGAAAAATGTTAACCACAAATGTAGCTGTTTGATTTTGCAAAAAGTATTTCAGTATTGTTAGGTTTTAAGTTTCTGTTCTCCAATCATGTAACATATATCCCACCATTATATTTGTAGCCAAGAATGATGAATGCAGGTAGGCATCCTCGGTTATTAGATGATTACGTGTAGGATACTGCACAGCACTAAAAGGAAGGCCACAATGATCAATTCCCCTTTCACAGTGAGCTAGGGGTCATGCAAAGGTAGTCTCTCATTTGTGCTACTATTGATTCAGCTGTGTTCACTAATGCAAACAGATGTAAATAGACTGGGATACAGAGGCACAGATACTGTGCTGTACTTGCAATCTTAACCATTGACCCAAAACAGGCTACCTACCCAATATTTTCTTCATGTGAACCAAATAATACACCAGACAAGTCATAATTAATGGTTTAGGGAAAAGTTAAAGATTTATAAAGATACCTCATGTTTTTAATGCCTTCACATAGCATTTTTCTTATAATTATTTTTTAAGTGAATGGCATACCTGCAAACCTGTCTAGTAAAGGTGGTCCAGCCAAGCTGAAAGGTTAGGCAAGGAGATAATTACTCAAAAATGCAATTAATAAGCCCTATGCTAACCATAGAGATATAGCAGAGAAGCACATTTCTTATTCTTCCAGGACCGTTTGTTTGTTGCATGCTCAATAAATCTGAACCAAACAGAAACTCCTATGAAGAAAATTTATGTGGGAAAATCACACAGACCACATTAAAAAATACCACCCTTGCAGTGAAAAACACTTTTGGCATCACTGTGATGTAGGGATGTTCAGTTTTGTAGCTGAATGTTTACAGGACTGTGGAAAGCATTATGAGGGATTTTTATTTACTCTTCTACATGTACAGTAACCAAATTCAATAATCTTAATGATTTTCTTTTTTTCAGAGGATTGTTTTCCAGCAAACGTTCTGTCTGGTTTGCTGGCTCATCTGGTTACTTTTTTGTCTCTAAGAAGTGCAGTATATGCTTGTAGATTGACTGAATTTAGCACCCTAACTCATCTGTATCATTTAAATTAAACTCTGCCAATCAGAAAACCTTAGCTCCAGAGACGGTACTCATAAATGGGATGTGTGGACCTTAACCACCGACCCAGAACAGACTGCCTTTCCTTAGCTCTTTGGGAGCAATCATCCTTAATGCTCATTTATGCCGCTTAACCCGATTCGCACAGCTGACTTTGTTTAATCTTAAGCAGAAAATCTAAAGAAAACCCACATTCGCTTCCACAGGCAGACTTTTGTCCTGCCTTTTCTCCAGCAGTCTGTCTCCTTGACAAAGTGATCTGTTACCTTGGTAATGCTATCAGTTTCTGTGGCGATGTGATCAGTTGCCAGGAGAAATCCAATCAGTTACCGTAACTCTGCAATCATTCTGTGTGTAAGGCCACTTTGTCATCAAGCTTTAAGCGAGTAATTATTTTATCTTGATGGTTACCAAGGTCTTGCCGTGTTCTTGTGGTATTTAGCCCTTGTTTATATCGATGATAAATCAGGTTCATATATCTTTTTTAATGTAGCAGCTATAACTGCTGAATGGGATTAGTTATCGTCCCTGATAAAGAATTTTAAGAAGCTTTAAAATCGGGCCATATTTTTATCACAGCAGGATCTCACATAGCAAAATGTAGCCTTTATTTATGTTGTTTATTTGGAGTTTGGGAAAAATCGGCATTCAAAAATATATTTTCAACACACCACAGTGACACAATTGTAGGCACCAATAATAATTCCAGTGAGAAAACTATATACAGCTCCCTTTTAAAGCATTACTGACTTTTTGAAGGTCATCCAAGTGTATAAGAACTTTTAAGATGTAATCCATGACCTCTTCTTTATTTAAGGTTAAAAAGTAACCTGACACAGAGACCTGTTCCTTTTAGGAAAAGAGTGGGAGGATGAAAATTCACATTTTTCTGTTAGAGAGCTTGATGATAAAAGCAAGATTTCCTGAGCTTACTGGCTTCAGTTAAAGTGTCCCTTATGGAGCTGTGGACTGTATTGAGATATTTAAGAAAAAAAACTTTTTCTGCCCTACCATTACATATGTAAACATGTAGAGTTTGAAAAAATTTGCTTGGATCAGATGGGACCATGTGCTTTGATTAGATGAGCATAATATTCAGCTTTCGAACAAAAAATACTCCAATTAGTCTTAAGCCCTTTTTAGACCGTTTTTGTAGTGCTTTGGATCAGGGGCGCTGAATTATGTTTCTGTTGGTGGGGGCTCACCATGTTTACATGACCTGTTGCTCATTCATCTAACAGCATACCACACATTAGATCATTTAACAGCAGCATTTAACAGTTGAAAACATGTATGCTCTTTCCTACACATGTGCACCTCTAACCACATACAGGCACACACACACATTTTTCCCAAACACACAATATCTAAACATTGCTGATGCACAAGAGGAGATCATGTCAATATGACCCAATACAAAAGGCTGTGCAACACCTCAGCCAGTGTTGGATAGCATATAATAACTGTATGGGCCTATACAGTATGACTGGAGCTATCCGCTGTGCTGAAAGTCAGAATAGAGTAGCCACTAGGCTACTTTATTCATTAATCACAACCTAATATTAATGTTGATGATCACAACAGGTTTTAATGAGGCAAATATATTTGTTTTACTAAGTGTACACACCAGGAAAGAAATAATTATAACCACCAAAATGATAGTAAATGGGCTTAAATAAAAGCAAACCATGTACCAAACCCAGCATTCAAAACCATTCAACACTTCCTTCAAAACATAGGCTTTGTCATAGAAATATTTAGGTTGTTTGTGACTTCAGGGGCCAGAGTCCAGAATGGACCTCCCTGCTCTTGCAGAGAAAGAAGGGACAAGGATCACAAGTTTTGGGGTCTCTGGCCACAGTGTTCTTAAATGCTCACCCTGATCCCCTTTAAGAGACTTCACTGTAGCCTGGCTATCTCCTCCCTGTTTTCCCAAAGTTTTATATGTCTTCCTGAAGAGCCTTCACGTCATCTCTGAGTGCATCAGTCATTTCCCCGGCTCTCTGTTTGTGAAGCTGCCACTTTTGGAGAGTACCGGTGACCCTTTCAATTTAAGAGCAGAAGCTGAGCATGAATTCCAAAGAAAAACAGGCCAGAATTACTGCAAGTGTACAATCAG